TTTTTTTTTTTTTTTGAGGTTGATTTATTTTAGAGAGAAAAAGCAGGGGGGAGGAGGAGAGAGGAAGAGAGAAAGTCTCCAGCAGAGTCCCCGCTGAGCAAGGAGCTGGATGCAGGGCTCCGTCTCATGACCCTGGGACCATGACCTGCGTGGAAATCAAGAGTCAGCCGCTCAACTGACTGAGCCACCCAGGCATGCCTCTTAGTTTTTAAATTTTATTTATTTATTTAGTTTTTTAAAAAGATTTTATTTACTTATTTATTTTTATTTGAAAGAGAGAGGAGAGGAGCAGAGAGAGAGAGAGAATCTCCAGCAGATTCCTCGCTGAGCACGGACCCCCTGATGCAGGGTCCAATCCCATGACCCTGATATCATGACCTGAGCCGAAATCAAGAGTCGGTGCTTAACCAGCTGAGGCAGCCAGGCATCCCTCTTTATCCTGTTGGTTCTGTTCTTCTAGAGAACCTGATTGATTACCTGTCGCCCCCCCCGCCCCCCCAAGCATATAGTGGGAGCATACTAAAGGAAGCACCGGGGGCAAATGCAACAATGAGTAAGTCTGGGTGAAGGGCATACCGGAGTTGCTTTTACTCTCCTTGCCACTTCCAGTTTAAGTTGGAAATTACATCAAAATAAGTTTAAAAAAAAAAAAACAATCTGAGAAGTTCATAACTTCACCAAGGGTCTAAAGCATAGAAAACGTTAAGAACCTGTGATTTGGGGCACCTGGGTGGCTCAATGGGTTAAGCGGCTGCCTTCCGCTCAGGTCATGATCTCAGGGTCCTGGGATTGAGCCCCTGGTCACTCTCCCTGCTCAGCAGGGAGTCTGCTTCTCCCTCTGCCTCTGCCTCTCCCCCCAACTCGTGCTCATTCTCTCTTTCAAATAAATAAATAAAGTCTTAAAAAAAAAAAAAAGAGCCTGTAATTTAAGGCAATACACAACTTTGGTCCAAAATCCTAAAAAACATCAAGGGGGTGTGACCTGGCTTCCTGAGCCTCCCTCAGCTCCCGCGCCCCCTTGAGGTCAGAGTGTGTAACAACACCTCCTCCCAACCAGCACCAAACCCTCATAAACCGACCTTCCAAATTCTTGCTCAGTCCCTGTAGACCCCACACATGGCTTCAATTCAGTGCAACTAAAACTTGCTAAACATAGTGCACCCACGTGTCCGTTCCCAAACACAAATACCACGCTTGTAAAAGTATAGCTGAACACACTCCAAACTCCACAGGAGTTTCAGAAGGATGGAGTGGAGACTTGTCACTTAAAGAAAAAATTTTTTTTTGGTAGGAGTAGTGCATTTCTGCATTGTTCAAATGTTTGCAGTGCTCATGGATTACCTTTGCCATGAAAAGAAAGCTAGATATTTACAAGGTTGAAGGCTGCTGTAGCAAAATGTTATTTGTGGAGGAAAGACCTGGGTGCTATATTCCAGAGCTGCCGAAGAGCACAGGAAAGGGGCGCCTGGGTGGCTCAGTTGGTTAAGCATCTGCCTTCAGCTCAGGTCATGATCCCAGGGTCCTGGGATCGAGTCCTGCATCAGGTTCCCTGCTCCACGGGGAATCTGCTTCTCCCTCTCTCTCTGCCCCTCCCCCTGCTTGTGTTCTCTCTCTCTCTCTCTCTGTGTCAAATAAATAAATAAAATCTTTAAGAAAAAAGAACATAGGGAAAATGAGCCTGTCTCTGTGCTCATCATCACAACCACACTCATCGAGGTAGGCTCAGAAAGGTTCCCAATGATGTCCATATCCGAATTCCTAGAACCCGTGGCATGACCTCATATAGCAAAAGGGACTTTGCAGTTAAGGATCTTGAAATGGGAGGTTATCGGGGCGCCTGGGTGGCTCAGTCGTTAAGCGTCTGCCTTCAGCTCAGGTCATGGTCCCAGGGTCCTGGGATCGAGCCCCACATCGGGCTCCCCGCTCTGCGGGAAGCCTGCTTCTCCCTCTCCCACTCCCCCTGCTTGTGTTCCCTCTCTCGCTGTGTCTCTCTCTGTCAAATAAATAAAATCTTTAAAAAAAAAAAAAAAAGGAATGGGAGGTTATCCTGGATTATCCAGAGGGATCTT